GTTGATTATTAGCTTGCATGAAAAAATTTATTTGATCTAAAATACCTTAAATTATTTGAATTATATTTTACTAAATCATGTATTTTGATATAACTAGATAGTTAAAAAAATTAAAATTGTAAATGTGCAGAAATGCTTATATAAAACCAAGAAATTGTTTATATTTTTGTTGCTTTTTCCCTTGTAAATTAATTATATATATATTACAGTCTGGGGAGTCAGCACCCTGCTGAATTGTAGTAAACGAGACGTCCAATCTACTAGACCATCAAAGATGCAGATTTGGATTTTCTATTTCATAGTTATTGAAATCATAATGGTATGTTTGTTTAAATTAGTACTGTTTATGAATGTGATAAAAAAAATAAATTCTGATAAGCTAAGAAATGATTTATTTTCTATTAATTATGAACTGTAAATAATGTAACCAATTTTCTTCATAGTATTTACTAAACATTTTTTTTTTTAAAAAGGGAGGTAGTCTTATTTATACAATTCTTGCAGAGATACCAAGAAATAAAACATTTCAGGAATTTTCACTCAGTATATCTTGATGTGTAAAATCGTGTTGTTCAATGCCATATTACTTTTTTTTCACAGGAAAGTAATTTTATTGATCTAACATCTGCATAAATCAAACTTTTTTAAGAATGATTACAGTTTCTAAGCTAACTTAAAATTTTCAGATTTAGAAAATGTATGTTTAATGTAGCATTAGTTTTCCATGGAATAGAAAAGGTTTTCAAAATGTTCAGTTGTTAGAGGGAAATAATATAAATGAGATTGTCCTGATACAGTTTTCAGCTGGAAATGAAACTGAATTTTCGGATAGTGAAGATTTCATTTAAGAATTCTAATAAAACTGATTAATGTAAATCCTCTGCATTTAAAAATTCTAATAAAACTGATTAATGTAAATCCTCTGCATTTAAGAATTCTAATAAAAACTGATTAATGTAAATCCTATGATTCATGTAGGTATTCTTCTGTTATCAGGACCAGATTCAGAAATGTGTGTTTATATGCATGCATTTTTAAATGTAGGTGCTCTCGTGTGTGCATGTGTATATTCTTTATGTATGTATGTGTATACTTATACACATATGCGCATACATGCATATACACATGCTTACATATCTACAGTGGAACCCCGAGATACGAGTTTAATTCGTTCCAGCATTCAACTGGTATAGCGAATTTCTCGTATCTAGAAACAAGCTTCCCCATTGAAAATAATGGAAATTCAGTTAACCCGTTCCACACCCCAAAAAATATCAACATTTTAATATCAAGTCAATTTTTCCTAATAAATAACACTGGTAAATAATATAACAATAGTTTAACTTTGTTACCAACATTTTAACTCCTTCTCATTAATCCACACCAACAACAGCTTCTCAACATCTAGGAGTACTTTTATGGTGCTTGGAAGCAACGATAATTCCTTTGGCTACATCAGGTTTCTTAATTTCTTCCTGCTTCTTCAGAATAGTATAGATTTTCGATGTTGAAAGGCCGCAAGTCTTCGCCAATTCTGTCACCATGCTTATGTTTATCTACGATTTCTTTCTTGATATCGACGGCCATGGCCTCCTTATTTTTCTTTGCAGCACTATCTGAGGCAACAATCTTCTTGCGAGGCATCTTGAAATAATTATTTTCACGTTAAATGTCAAAACAATTAACTTACAAGTGCACAAACACGTATATAAAAGAACACTGAGTGATCTGATGAGGGGATTCCCGAGTTGAGCCGGATAGGGAAATGGCGCCCCACCCATACCAACAGCCTGGCTCATTGCTCGTTACTCGAATTAATGCTCGTATTTTGCTCATACTTTCCTCGTATCTCGAGGTTTCATTGTACATTTCTGAATCCCGTCCTAATAACAGAGGAGTACCTTTGCCAGTATTGCAACAGAGCTAGAATGAATTATTGTGTTAAATATGTGGAAAATGCATGCTTAAAGTACTGTTATTTTCTAAAAATATTCTGTATGTCTATTTTTTACAAGAAGAAAAAAGCTAAAAGCTGTTAATTTACTCGTATTTATTAGTCCAAAGGGGCTTTGTCCCTAAAGAACTATTGTTTTTGTTTTGCATTGGTTCACTATAAATATCTGTTTCACTTTTCAAACAAACTGTTCCTACCAAATGTTAGAGTCCCTAGTGTGGGATTAATACTCTCTATCTTAGTGCCCTCTATAACCTATGTTAGGGTTAACCTGTATAACCTACAAGGATTGCCAGTTTAGGCGAGATATCTAGGTAGTCATCATAATACGTACCTTATTTTTTATTATTTTTAAATTAAATTGAAAGTAATAAACTAGTTTTCAAGAATGGAGTTAAACTAGATTTGCATTCAACTCTGGTTTATTGTGTTAATGATGTTTTGCTGTAACAAATATGAATTTTTTGTTTAAGTATAATAATTTTAAAATGTTTTTTCTAGAGAATGAAGTACTGCCACTAAGGTAAAGGTGCTAACTTGCAAGGTAATTTTCTATTCTACATTAACTCAATCTTTATGTCCTGTTACAGATATATTGGCAGAAATAATGAAAACCTGACATTCAAAAAAAAATAATAATGTTGAATGTAGTATATTAGATGGTTAACTGCGGTTTGGCAGCTCATTAATAATCTTACACATATTGAGTACGAATAACTTTGACAATTACCGGTATTTTCAATAGTATAAAATTAGGCAAGAAAGCAGCTTTAGCTTAGCACCAACGATTTTAAATACAACTCTCTTACCAATATTGGTTTGACGAAGGTAAAATATAATTGAATTTAATAAGTTGGAAATACTGTCTGTCTTTCCATGAGTTAAAAAAATAATTTCAAATAAAATTTCTTTTTTCAGTTTTTCATGTTATTTGTTTAATGTTATTGTAATCTGATTTATCATATTTAGTCACATATTCCATCCCTCTTTGCACTATATACAGGGGTTGGACAAAAATATGGAAACACCTTTAAAAAAACATGTTTCTTTGCTTAATATGGTGTAGGAAACCCGTTGGCATCCAAAACAGCTTGCAGTCTTCTCGGAATGGATAAATACAGTTCCTGTATGTTTGCCAAGGGAATATTATACCATTCTTCCTGCAAAACGGTGGCAAGTTCAGATAACGATGTTGGCGGTGGATAACGAGAACGCACTTTCCGTTCCAATGTAGACCACAAAGGTTCGATAATATTCAGGTCTGGTGACTGTGGTGGCCAGGGGGAGATGGGACAACTCATCCTCGTGCTCAGAAAACCAGTCCTGGACAATGTGAGCTGTGTGAACAGGGGCTTTGTCGTCTTGGAAGACACCATCACCATCGGGGAACAAAGTTTGTACCATGGGATGAACTTGATCGGCCAAAATGTTCACATAAGTCTTGGCAGTCATGTGCCCTGACACAGTTATCATGGGGCTAGCAGAGAACCACGATATGGCTGCCCAAACCATAACAGAACCCCCGCCATGTTTCACTCTTGGCAACAAGCAGTCTGTATTATAGGCTTGAGATGGCGTTCTCCAGACGTAAACTCGGCCAGAAGTGGGAAACAATGTGAAAGAAACTCGTCAGACCATATTACTCGCTTCCACTGCTCTATAGTCCAGGCTTTATGACTTAAACACCACCTTTTCCTGTTACGGGCATTAGCATCACTGATGAGTGGCTTCTTCAATTGCAGCACGGCCAGCAATTCCCTGTTTATGAAGCTCCCTTCTAATTGTTTTGGTACTCACAGGGTTCGGTAACACAACATTCATTTCAGAAGTAACTTCTGCAGCTGTGGTCTTCTTATTTTTCGTCACAATTGCCCTTAACGATCGTCTGTCACGATCACTCAGGACACACTTTCGTCCGCGCTGTGATTTAGCAGATCATGTTTTTCCGCTTTTCAAATATGCGGAATAAATCTTCGATACAGTACCTCTTGAAACACTAAACACCTCGGCTACCTACCTTGCTTACGGAAGCACCTATCATACGTGCTCCAACAATTTGCTCACGTTCGAAGTCTGTTAACTCGGACATAATGCAATGACAACCTCACATAACAGTATTCCGACAACAACTGAACTGTTTAGCACATTTACGAAGTTGTAAAGGTGGCGTAAGTAGTCAAAAACGCCAGCGCCACCTACATATTTCATTAAAATCAATCTTTCTTTTCAAACATGCATTTCACAAGGTGTTTCCATATTTTTGTCCATCCAAATTTCACAGCAATATTCTATACATTTTTACCATGTTTCTAAATCATATCCTGAAAAATTAAGGAGTAAAGTACACAAAGAAGGAAAATATGCAAGTAAATAATGGCATTTAGTGTTGTTTATGTGTCTAATATTTTTACTAGATTGTAAAAGTTATAAAATTCTATTAGCTTTTTTAAATTGAGATGCTTCTTCTTTGCACCCAAATGGTTAAAGCCCTTTGACTTTGGTACTTTGATCTAACTTCTATTCCTAATAAATAATCCAGCTGCATACAGTTTACTCAATTTCTGCCATGTGTAAGGTAAACATATTAGCTTTTTTTAAATATATCTTTTACAACTATTCCATCAGGTAGATTTCTTTCATATTTTGCCTTAATTGAGTCATCCTGCTAATTAAGAATTTATTAAAGTTAATATGTTAAGTTTTTGTGTGTATAATTCATTTTAAGTATGTGCAAGCAAATGCATACATTAACAGTTACGTAGAATTATGTTTTGGGTATCAAATTCAGAAATTTTTTGGGCTGTTTTTAGAAGATTTATTAATGATTTATACTATATTAATATTGGTAAAAAAATTCTGTGGCTTTTATATGAGAGTATATATTTTAAAATAGCTGCATGATATGGTAGAGGTAAAAAGCTTCATGTGGATCATAAATTAATATTATGTGGCAATTTTTCATTTATTTAATAAAGAAAATATTCAAGCCACAATTAAAATTTTTTCACTGGATTATTTGCATACAAAGTTTGCAGCAAATATTTCCTGCAACAGAAGTGACAATTTTTATTTTGCCATGACAGGAAATTTAGTTAGTCAAAGCAGTAACCCTATTTTGAGATGTTAAACAGGAAGGCAAATTTTTGAATTTAAATTGATTTTTGAAGGAAGACTTCATTTAGTCTTGCTATCATTCTACGTGGCTCTTAACTTTTTTATGGTATTTATAATTTTATTGTTATTCAGCTTTCTGTTTGCTTAGAATGCACATGAATGTAGACTTGAAATATTTTATATTGCAAACTGAGATGCCATTGTTATCATAATTAAAGATTTTTGCTCTGATTTTGGAGGAATTTACTGATAATACTTTTGATTGTGTATTGGTTTCTGGTTTATTGAAATGTGTAAAATAGCCTGTTAATGCATATACGTATGTTAATGACATGTATATGTTTATGAAGTATTCTGTTATATGTATATAGTGTTGTGATTAGTTTTCTGCTTACTCTTTATTTAAGAAAAAGTTATCTGTAAGAAAGCGAATATTCTTTACTATATGTAGGAGTAAAATTGAAAAGGCTAATGCAATATAATTAATACAAAATTAAGTTTTTTCTCATGTACTTAAATACAAACATAGCCATTAAAGACTTTCTCAACCTTGCAGTTCTAAACAAATCTTAAGTATTTTTTACTTGAAATTATAGGCATTGTGTAAGGTATATAATTGAAGCTTACTGTGTGATAGTATGAAATTAAATTTTTAATTACTGAAATGTAAATTTTTAAATATGAAATACTCAGTGCATTTTATATGCATCTTTTAATACTTCAACTATATTTAAAAGCTGAAAACATCTGAAGTGTGAAATTATTACAAATTTTTCTTTTTCTTGTTTAGGAGCTGTTCTCAAAACATTGGGTGACAAAGAATTCACTTTTACAAAAATCGAGCAGGATATTAAAGACAGTGAACTGTAGAACAAATATGGCGAAGCTGCATGAAGTCTATGTTGAATTTTATTATTGAAAAAAATATGCTCTTCAGATTTAATGTTAGTTTTTATTGTTTAACAGTAATTGCAGTTTTCGAATACCTGTAAAATAAACCTAATTCTTAAATTAATTTCATGTGTATTTCTTTTTGCAAGTATTACAGTTCATAATACTTCAAACAACTTGAAATTTGATACTTGTTAATTTATGTGGGATATGTTCATAATAATTTTATAATTTAAATAACTCATTGTCATCATATGAGCATAATCTAAAATGCACAGCATTTGACAACAAATTAATAAAAAATTAGCCAACTTCTAATTGCTTTCTTTTGTCCAGTTGCCTCTTTTTTAAATCATTTAATACCATAAAGCTATTTGATGAAAAAAAAATTGTAATTGGTATGTCCACATCAACATGTACATTTATAATGATGTTATAGAAAAAGTCACATGAGATAAATATTTAAAAACTTCAATATTCCTAAACAAATTAACTTTTTAAAATTTTATCTGGTATATAAGATAAAATAAAGAACATATTTAGGTAATTTTGAATTTGCATAATTTTATGAACTTATTTATGAAATTAACAGTTACATTGTAAAAGGGAACTTTTTAAAAATACCTCAATAAAGCATTTCTTTTGTAGAGGTGAACTTTTAGTACTGATCTAATATATTTATAAGATTTTAAACTGAAAAAGACTATAATAGATTACAATACATTGCAAGATTGACTGATAAATGTAAAATTTTTACATATCATAATTATGTGTGTAATTACACACATAATTATGATATGTAAAAATGTAAAAAAAAACAGAAGTACAGAACACAGAAGTATGTAAAAACAGAAGTTACTCGATTAACTTGCATGCAAATTAATATTTTCTTTAACATGTTTGGGATAAACTGAATTTTAATAAATAAATATGTATAGATTTGTGTATTATCTGAAAATATGAATGAAATATTTGTGACATTAAACATTCATCTTCAAGGAAAATAACAGAGTCAACTTGGTAAACTATTGGAAAAGGTAAGTTTTCTACAATTTCCTGGTCTATATTTAACAATTTTAAAATTTAGCACACTCATTCAAATAATCTAAATGTATGATGTTTTCTTTTGTGCTACATTTGTTTACTGAATTTGTTAATTAACTATATTGCACTTTAGATAGAAATTAATGTAGATATTCCCTGTATTTTACGGTACAAAAACTTATATATTTGATAATAATTTACCTAAATCTTCCCTATGTTTTCTTTGCATATACGAATGACTTTGGTAAAAATTTAGTCCGATGTCTTCTCCCTTTTACTGTGTATAAGTGCACATTTTTGGTAAAAAATTTGCATAAATCTCCAATTACCTATTTACTTACTACTGCATTTTTCGTAAAATGTGCTTATTTTAATCTCTTGTTTTTTATATAAATCTATGCAAAAATGTTCTGCATATTATGATTAAAAGATAAATTAATATCAAATTTTTACATATCCACCTTTTAGGTATGTACAGCAATATGGAATATATATAACTGGAAAATTTAAATGCAAAAAAATTAATTTCTATTCAAAAATTACATAACACTAAAAGGCTGAAAATCACTTTTAATATTTCATTTCAAAGTGACTACAAAAATATGCAATAAATTTTGTAAACCTGAGTTCTTATGTTTTTAAATCAATTAATGCTATCGTTCATTTACATGGCATAAGAAATGTCCTTCAGAAAAGCAAATAATTTATTTAAAGTGTTATTTAGTAAACAACTGTTTGCTACAGTTTTTTACTAAATTTAAATTTATGAAATGAATTTAGTAAACAAAAATGCAAATGAACGATTGCATTAATTGATTTAAAACACATATAATTGATGTTTACCAAATTTATTGCATATTTTGTAGTCACTTTGAAATGAAATATTAAAAATGTCATTTTCAGCCTTTAAGTGTTACGTAATTTTTAAATAGAATTTTTTTTTTTTTTTTTTTTTTTTCATTTACTAGTGCATTTAAATTTTCCAGTTATATATATTCCATATTGCTGTAACATAACTAAAAGGCAGATATGTAAGAATTTGATATAAAAATTACATTTTACCTTTTAATCATAGCATACAGAAAGTTTTTGCATAGATTTATATAAAAAATATGAGATTAAAATAAGTACATTTTATGAAAATGCAGTGAAAAGGTAATTGGAGATTTATGCACAATTTTTACCAAAAAATGTGCATTTATACACAGTAAAGTGGAGAATACATTGGATTAAATTTTTACCAGTCATTCGCATATGCAAAGAAAACATAGGGAAGATTTAGGTCAATTACTATCAATATATACGTTTTTGTACCGTAAATTACGGGAAATATGTACGTTAATTTCTATCAAATATATACGTTTTTGTACCGTAAAATACGGGGAATATCTACCTTAATTTTTACCTAATATATACGTTTATATACAGTAAAAAATCGGGGAAATTTACGTAAATTTTCACTAAATATATACGCATACGTGAAGCAAAAATTCGAGATTTACGTATATGCGATAAATATACGTAAATCCCTGAAATTTACGTATATTATACGTAAAAGTTGCGAATGAACAGTAGTCTCTCGCGTAAATATACCTAAATTTTACGTAAAAGTTACGTATAGTATAACGTAAAAATATACGTAAATATTTAGTAATTGCCACTGGACACTTTTTATGATATTTTTACGTTCAACTTGAACGTTTTTTATACGAAAGGCCATTCGTAAATTGCACGTATTTTTCTCGTGCAATTTACGAATGCATGCTGCCTGGGAAGCTGTTGTAAGGTCCATGGCTGTGAGACTGTAATGTCAGTAAAGCTTTTACTTAGCACCTGTGTTATCTTAAATCCTGTTCTAAAGAAAGATTTTATAAATGTTATATATAGAAAAATGTAAGGCGCATGTTACTTTTCCTATAAATTAAATTTCTTTTTTTATTTTAATAAACTGGAGGATTTTTAAAAAATTCAGGGAAAATTAAGCAGTAAGCGTTGTAAATATCACCTATGTCAGGCTCCATTTCAGAGGAAAATAGATAAGCGAAGTTGACAGCAGACATAACTAAATACTGGGATCTAGTAGTTATTCCTGCACCAGAACAGGCATTTTGAACGGTATTTTGTCGAAGCAAACTGGTAATTTAGATGGTGACAGCCTCAAGATCCAATGAAAGGTGGTAACCACCCGCTCGAGGAGGAAGGCGTGACTAGGTGTCAGCGTAAAATATGATATGCTTTATGAATGTCCTTCTCAATGACTTTTTCCCCCCACTGCGTGGAGGCAGTTTAGAATTTTGCAGCTAGGTGGTATGGCAGTACATCAATATGAAATTTTAGCGTGAAATAGGATTTTCCATGGGTGAACTTTTTCTCTTGGAAATGTTTCAGTTCATTTTAGAGTAAGTTTTAAAGTTTTAAAAGTTCTCTTGGCTAAATTTAATGGACTTACTTTGAGAGCTGCATGAATCTTAAAATTCATAAATTTAAAGCATGCAAATTATTATTAAAAGGACACAAAAAGATTTAGGCAGAAGTTATTAAAGGGGTAATTGATAATTTTCTTTGTTAAATAACCTTTCATAGTTCTTAGTGAGGATATGCTTATTCTGAGACTGAAATGATTCTTACGGAGAAAGCGCCTGGTTTGAGGCTGATGATTTTATTATCTTAACAATGTTTGTTCCCTTTTTTATATTGATACATATTGCTACGCGAAAATGCGCAATGACTGAAACATTCGTTACGTAAGTGCATATTAAATTACATACTGAGACAAAAAGTAAGAAATTTAGAACCTATTTTGCACAAATACCCAAAGAAGTGAAATTCAATACCAATAGATTTTGAAATACACTATAAAGATGCAAAAAAATGTGATACTAAAACCTAAAAATATACCACGTTATACATACATATTATATTTATGTATAATGTTATGTATGCTATAACGGGATATGCCAGAAACAATAAGCAGATTTTATTGTCCCAGTGGACGTTCAAATAGTTTCTTAATTATTGTCATAGAATTATGAAACTTTGCTTACATGTATAATTTACAATAATTATATTAAATATCTTTGAAAAATATTTATGTATCATCGCAATTTAATTTTTCAAATTTCTTTTCAATTTTTTAATTTTTTTCAAAATGCTCCATGCGATTTAATTTTTTTCTGTTGTTATTTCTGCTTTACTTTTACTGACAATTCATTGAAAACACAACTTGGTATCAATTAGTGAATTACATAAAATGTTAGTTTTTAATTAATATTTCTTTCACATATACCTGAATTTTGGACAAAATTGATATTTAATGATTATTGATTATTGATATTTAAATGTCACAAAAAAGGTAAACAAGCGTATTCAAACGCTTATAACGTCTTTAAAAATAATTTTACATACAAGCGGCTTTTTGTAGACGATAGAGTTAAATCCGAAGAATATTATCATATGAAATTTTTATTTCCCAATTTTTATTCGATTTTTGCTAAAATCATCGTCCACTGCCCCCTTTTAATTAAAATGAAGAATTGGTCAAAATAATCTGAAGTAGAGTTTGATGCTACATTTCTGTTTATAAATGTAAATCTGAACGCAACAAAGAAATTTAAAAAATATGTTTGTTCGTGTTTTGAGTATTGTTTAAGAATAAGTTGCCATTCAGGAAATGTCAAATGCGTGCAACACATCAAACAAATGTTAATTAGTTCGGGTTTTTCTGTCTAGCGGCGAACTTGTTGAGGTAGTATTTTCCAGTTTTTAAATAAAGCATTTAAAAATTCGATAGTTAACCCGAAAAATCTAGTTATCTTACGTAGAAAATGCAGATGACCTTTAATTACATCGTAGCATTAAAATTGAATGTTTAAAATTGTTTCTTCTTACTTATTTGTAAGACATGAAAACCATGCATTGAAGGAAAGTTTTAATGAGCAAACAACAATGAAGCTAACAATCATAACATAACAATCTTTTCATAGCTAATAATACCTATGATTGGTGAACTGGATTTTTCTTCATGATTTTCACATTCACAATGATTTATCTTGTTTAGTTAATGACTTTAAGTCCAA